CCTTTTTTATGATATTGAAATTTTTGTTGTGTGTTTTTGTGGTTGAATTTTTCTTTTTTTCGAGGCTTATATTACGTATAATAACATTTCTAAGATATATTTGTTGGGAAATAATAATTTTGTGATTAAAAGTGATATTTATTATCGATTTTTCATTTGTAAGAATATTCTTAACAAATTATCGTGTTACCATGACAAGTTGGATACTTTTTGTTCGTAAAATATTATGGTTTTGTCAGCAAGGTGAGGGTTTTTGCATGTATGTATTTTCTAGTACTGCTGCTATTTAGAGTCTGTTTCGTTAATCACTGACATTCACTCTGTATATTGTCAGTAAATACACCTTATCTCGGTCCGTTTGTGAGTCAAGTAATTTGAGGGAATGTTAAGTTTTTCCAAGAAATCTGGACACTTGCAGTATCTTCTGTATCATATATCTATGCACAATCGTCGAATTTAATTAATTCGGTTGAGTTTAATTGCATGAATTAAATTGTGTGATGAACTAAATTCGCCATGTCGTTGTATCCGTCAGGTTAGTCGTATATAAGGTCTGTAGGGCTTGTTGGTTTCTTACATACTACTCGTATTCTCGTGTGGATTTAAATGCATATTAATTATGTTTAAGTGTGTTTCTGTCTCTGTGATCCCAGTGGTTGCCATTTCTGGTAAAAATTTATGATCGCTATGGTCCCCCCCCCCCCTACTTTTTGGGATAGATTGACGCCCTTGGTCGAGTTTGTTTTTCGCCTTTTTTGAGCCTTTTTATAGTCGAGTTTTCAGACGATTACATTTTAATCTAAACTTTTGAATATGTATAGGCCTACTAGATGATGGAAATGGTTTGCCTCTTTATTTTTCCAGATATTTTAAAGATTTTAACGACATTCGAGTATCTTTTGCGTGTATTTTTATTTTGCTTTTTAACATAAACATTATTTAGTAACAATTCGGGAAGCCATTCTGTGTTTGAAATTTTGGACATTTTAAGCCTTGTTTCCTTCTTTTAATTAGCCAAACTTTGCTTGTATAACGACCCCTTACTATTATACTGTTTTACGACATGTTTTTCAACTTTTTTAAAACTCACAAATAGTATTTTCAAGTCATTCTTGGGAGTTCGCAACAATGAGTAAGTTGTCAACAAAGCCGGTCAAAGCCGAAGCGAAATGTCGATTTAGAGGCTCGATTTCGTTAAAAAGTTATTATTTTACATAAAAATCAAATTAAAAATTCAGTTTTCTTTATGTGGTTTATACTTCGTTGCCTAATTGTTAAATAATCAGGATTCATACCAGGAACAGTCGACTCAATGCATTATAATTTACGTAAACGCACATCCCGATTAATATCAAAGGTCCTGAAAACAATTTGAGTATCCATGCGTGCCTGGAGTGAGTGGAGTCTCCGGACTATGAATACTGCATGCATGCCGGTATTCAAGGTTGATCATGAAGTCCATGAAGTTCGGTAGCCTACGGTGTAGACCCCAGCAGAAACACGTTTCGTTAGGGAAAACTCATGCACCCTCACGAAACGTGTTTCTGCTGGGGTCTAACAGCGTAGGCTAGAAGTTCGGACGAATTGAAAAACCCGATTTAGCTGTCACTGTCAGTCGTCCTTGCTTCTTAATCCCCGAGCCGACGGCGCGAAGCGCCGTGCGAGGGTACTAATTCCCCCCGGCTATTTACACCCGGGGAAACGAAAGCATTAGCGGAGTCTAAAGTTCATCAAATATCGCGGGCGTGGGTCACCAACGGTGTTGGGTGGGTGGTCATCCTCACTGATCTCAAAAATATGGCGGACTGTCATGAATAGCGGACACTGATTGGTCCAATTTAAAGTTTGCATTATAACGACTGCATGACGACAGCGAAATAGCAAACATTTCTTGAGTTGATTTGATGATTGATAAATTTCTTGCAAATATATTTCATTTTTGCTCGCATTTTTGCAAGATTTTGTAAATTTTAAAAGCTCTCTGAGAAAGGAACTTTGTTTTAAATATTGATTTTATAATGGATTTAAAACCCGACGGCCTTTGCGTATATGAAACAACTAAACAAGACAGCATATAATTTCAGTGTATCTTTAATATTGATTCCCTTTTTTATGATATTGAAATTTTTGTGGTGTGCGTTTGTGGTTGAATTTTACCTTAAATCGAGGCTTATATTACGTATAATAACATACCTAAGATATATATGTTGGGAAATTAATAATTTTGTGATTAAAAGTGATATTTATAAGCGATTTTTCATTTGTAAGAATATTCTTAAAAAATTATCGTGTTACCATGACAACTTAGATACTTCATGTTCGGAAAATACAATGGTTTTGTCAGCAAGGCGAGGGTTTCTGCATGCATGTATTTTCTAGTACTGCTGCTATTTAGAGTCTGTGACGGTAATCACGGACATTCACGCGGTATATAGTCAGTAAATACACATTATATAAGTCAGTTTGAGAGTCAGAGGAATTTGAAGCAAGGCAAAGTGATTCCAAGAAATCTGTGACAATTGCCAGTAAAGTCTGTATCATACATCGCATGCACAATCGTCGAATTTAATTAATTCAGATGAATTTAATTGAACGAATTAAATTGTGTGATGAACTAAATTCGTCCAAGACGTTGTATCCGTCATGGTTAGACGGATACAACGTCTGTAGCGCTTCTTCGTTTCATACATACGACGTCGTATCCTCGTGTCGAATTAAATGCATATAAATTATGTTGAAGTCTGTTTCTGTCTCTCTGATCCCAGTGGTTTTTATTTCTGGTTATGAATCCATGATCGCTATACGATCATAAAATTAATTCGTTTGAATTAAATTCGTCGTGTGAAACGAAACCATTTTAATGTCGACCAATTGACGAATTTAAGAGCAAATTAAATTCGTCTGAATTAAGTTCGAGGTATATCACAGTGAAACAGGCTTAATAGTTACAATCCTGATTTGAAGCAAGACAAAGATATACGTACGGAACAGCTATATATAGGCGTGCGATAACTGGAAGTCATTTTCCTCTTGCTGCTCAAGATTGTTTTGTCTGCATGTCCGAGAAACAACTTGACGGCTGAATGATGTTAGGGGCGGACCATTAGAAAATTGATGGGGGGGGGGGAGGGGCAAAAGCAAAAATAAAAATCGAGCAGGGGAAACAGAAAAAAAAATTCGAACACGAAAAAAGTTTAAAAAAAAATTCGTCCCCCCACTTTCTAATGGTCCGTCTCCTATAGACGACAGTTCGGACAGTTTATAGTTTTTCGAATAGGTTCCTGTTCAGCCGCCTGTCAGTATATCATTCACTTTGTTATAAAAAAATAGATGCTCTGCTATATTTGGTGTGTACTGAAAAAAGTCCTCACTCCGCCCTTTATGTATACGGTAAGTAAAAACTTTGCACTTTTTGTTAAAAAAACGCGCTTTTGGTAATTTATATTTGCTTTCTAAATACTGTGTATAATTTTAATTTAAGTGAATATATTATATAGTTTGAGACTTAATTTGAGGTAATATATCAGCACAACCGGCCGATCTGCATGCGTCTGATCGGGATTTCTTATAGTATGCAAGAGAAACATCTTATAAATTATAACTCATTAGCTGTGATCATGAATTCATATAAAAAGACGGGCCGAAACTTGTGGATGTCCGTCTGATATGAATACGAAACGAACTGACATCAGACGGATAAACCAAAATAAGGCGGAGATCCTCCATCCAATCTCTTTTCAACGCTATGAGCTGAAACCCTTCTTAATTTATTGCATGATATAAATTTAAGAGGAGCTATAGTCTATAGTTTCCCGACTGAGACGAGAAACTCGACGTCGTCTAACTTTCCTGTCGTTCAGATGAGAAGTTAGACAGAAAACTGGAGACGGAAAACCCGTCGTTAATTAACCCCGAAGATTTATATATATCTGGACGAGTTTCTCATCTTAGGCGAATTTCCCGCGTTAGACGGAACTGATCCGCGTCTTCAACATAATCAGACAACCGATAGCTTATTCAAAAACACCACGTCCACGTTGTGTATGTGGGTACATGAATTAAATGTTTTCAGTGGCGTAGCCAGAACGATAATTGGGGGCGCCCATATTCATATATTCGTGTTCACATACCATAAAAACAATTGACTTCAAAAGAAATTAATAAAGCAGAACACGAATATATGAATATGCCCCCCCCCCCCCGAATTATCGTTCTGGCTACGCCACTGAATATTTTGCGAACAACACCTGTTTTAAAATATTTAAAGAAACTTGTTATTATACAGAAGTTCAACGCCTGAAAACTTTGGTCAGATCAGTCATGACAGGAGATTATTTCTTTCACTTATTTATTTGATGGATTAAGCTAGACCTTGACCAAAATGGATCTAGGACGGCTTCTCCTGCCTTGATCAAACTTCTAGCTTTCTCAAACGCAACGTTTTGAATTTGCCGGATCTGCTGAGATCTGAGATCGACTCCAGAGGGACGACTCTAACTGAGTGCATAAAAATTAATGGTAGTTGTAGAATGAGGTTTCGAGTGTAAACTTTATACTTTTACTTTTAGACCCAACCATGACTGGAGTAAGGGCGAAAAGTACAATTATAGTATAGGCCACGAAACATTAAGGTCGACCTATTATTGTCACTCATTGTATGATGTATAAATATCATGCACAATTTTGAGCATCTCACGATAGAACTAAATGTTGAAGTGACTATAATATAGTATAGCTTCGCTTTTTCAACTCAATCAAGGTCTTCAGTAAGCCAACACTAAATGCGAGTTTGAAATAATACAAAAAATTGTATCTCACAGACCTTTTCGTTAATTTTATCACTCGATTTAATATTGACTCAGTCCACTGTCAAACATTTAGTTCTGTCGAATGAGATGCCCAAAATCTGATATAAGCCCCAAATTATTATTAAAGTGGTCTAGCTAGAGGATCAGGATTTGCATGTTCTTGTTAAATTAACCAATTAAAAGCACAAGATTATGGCCAATCAAGAGGAAGGCATCTCTATCATTATATCTTCGCAGACGTCCGGCAGGTTAAGCAATGATATAAAATGCTGCGAGCAAACCAAAATTCATTCGCAAACTCGGTCAGTCCGAAGATACTCCAAAAAGACTTACGAAGGAAATAAGATGTCTGGTCGTGGTAAAGGAGGCAAAGGTCTTGGAAAGGGAGGCGCTAAGCGCCATCGCAAAATCTTGCGAGACAACATCCAGGGAATCACAAAGCCCGCTATCCGTCGTCTTGCTCGTCGTGGTGGTGTGAAACGTATCTCCGGTTTGATTTACGAAGAAACTCGTGGCGTTCTCAAAGTTTTCCTTGAACGTGATTCGTGATGCTGTCACCTACACTGAGCACGCCAAGAGAAAGACCGTCACTGCAATGGATGTTGTCTATGCCTTGAAACGACAAGGAAGAACCCTCTACGGTTTCGGTGGTTAGATAGTATCGCCAAGAAGATAAAGACACATTAAAAAACGGCTCTTTTAAGAGCCAACAAATCTATAAAAGAATACAAACGAATTGCATATATGCTCGTTAATATTATGCCCTATTTAATGTCCACTCAGCCTGGTAATTTGACTAGCAGTTCAACCAAATAATCCCAGCACGAAAGAATGTATACATCAACAGCTGTAAAGAACAATACTCTATAGCGCAGGCATATGTGAAGTTGTGAACCAGACTTTACAAAAGTTCACCCCTCTCTATGTTAATAAAATACATAATGTTAAGTTGTTAACCTGACAATGGTGACATGCATATAACTTAGCGGGATAAAAGTTTTGCTGCGAAACCGGAAGAATGCAGTTCAAAGTCATTCTGACAAACTCACACGCCAAGAAGAAGTACCAATTTCCAAGTTGGACTAATTTGAAGAACAGGATTTGTCCGCAGATAATTGAACGCGCAAAAAACCGAAGAAATAAAATGATTGATATTTCCTTTTATCCTTGACTTCTAGTCTGTATATAATACGAGGCATAGTTTTAAAATCACTCTGGCCTGTTACCTGGCCTATTTTACAATTCATCAAGAACATGTGCAAAACTAGTGTAATGCAAATCAAGAGACGGTGATGGGTTAATGATGCATAAAATTGAATACCTCTTTATGTTTACTACATGCAAAATATCCTATGAAACAATTTCCCTTGCTGTGAATTTTCTCGGTTTTTCCTAATCACTGAAATATATACCCACCCATGCAGCTATCGACTGGCTCATAGCCAATAGAATAGATGGTTTGCAAGCTCGATAGAATAACAATATAACTCATCGTTATCTATGCTAGTCAACGTTTAGTTCATAAATCTGATCCTTCACCGTCACGTGCGTATTTGTATTTTTGCCCAACTAGCCAATGGCAATAGCAATGTTTTATGAAAGTTACCTTATCCGTGCGACTCGAACGATAGATGAGGAGTAAAATATGAAAATTACTATGGACTGTATGGGTGCGGAATTTGACAAAAATACAATACACACGTGACGGTGAAGCCTGAAGGTCAGATTTATGAATAAACCGTTGAGTAACATAGATGAGTTACATTGTTATTTTAATTAACGAGTTTCCAAACCATCTATTCTATTACTTATATAGTGGCACCATTTACAGTTAAATTTAGCATGTAGTAAAATTTTATCGAGGTTTGAACGCGATTTTTGCTTACAAAGTGCATGTAAACGGAACATAGACATTGTGTATATACAGATGTAATATGTACGACAATATATATGTATTTCTCTATAATGAATGGAAAACTCATAGGGCATAGAGCTTGGAACATACGCTGAATGTAATACAGTAATAGACAAAATATTTGAGAACGGAGGTGGGTAGGATACAGTATAGGGTATAAATAGTTTGTAAGACTGGGGGAATAGAGTATTCAAATTATTTGTGCCCCGAGTTGTGGCAAGTGCTCAGCGGCATGGAGTATAATATAAAAGTTGGAAAACACAGACGCCTATTATCGAATTCGTTTGCTTCTTTTAGCACATTTGTTGGCTCTTAAAAGAGCCGGTGTTTTTTACTGGTCTTTAGGACAGGATTTAAGCTCGTTCACCACGGATTCGCCGCGCCAGCTGGATGTCTTTGGGCATAATAGTCACTCTCTTAGCGTGGATAGCACACAAGTTGGTGTCTTCAAACAAACCAACAAGGTAAGCTTCGCTTGCTTCTTGTAGGGCCATCACAGCTGAACTTTGGAAACGAAGATCGGTCTTGAAATCTTGTGCAATCTCACGAACCAATCGTTGGAAAGGCAGTTTGCGGATCAGAAGCTCGGTTGATTTCTGATAACGACGGATTTCTCGGAGAGCGACAGTTCCTGGCCTGTATCTGTGAGGTTTTTTCACGCCACCAGTAGCCGGGGCACTCTTTCGAGCAGCCTTCGTTGCCAAAGTCTTTCTCGGTGCTTTTCCACCAGTTGATTTACGAGCGGTTTGCTTTGTACGAGCCATTTCTTCTTCGACTTTGAAATCTCTGCTTCTTGTCTTCGGGAGAACGCGATCGAATGATTCAAAAATTGGAAATTCAAGGTTTGCGCTCCAGTCTATATACACCACTCCTGTTTCCTGATTGGTTGGTTTAACATAATCGATTGCGTCCCTGATTGGTTTAAAACCGTGGGTGATCATTGGTTAATGCAGGTAATTAATTCCAACGTTCCTTATCGGCTAGTTGTTATCCTCATCAAAGGCGAAGCTCGTCCTTGTAGGACCAAAAGGGTTTGACTACAATATACTGCCTAGTTAATTCGCTCGATATAAAAATGTTCACTCAATTCGTTAATTGACGATTGCGAAACGACATTTATGCTTCATTTATGAGTCAGAAAATTAATCGGATATCTGAGGGGATCATACATTACTGCATGCGTGACTGATTGGGACACTGCATGTTGTTTTTGCATTCAAATTGCTCATGGCCAGACAATCTCATGCTACTCGCTCTTTCTCTGGTATGGTACCATAAGCTTGACCTAAACTGCACATTTATAGTCACAAAACCTGCAGAACTACTTTAATTTTGCCTATAGATGTAAAACGTACAATATGGGACATAACCGATCTCAGAAATACAATGTCACACTTCTGGAAAGTCAATGACAATGTCTTATTACACTTTAGGCCTGTTTTATACGTCGAATTTCGGTCGCGTCGAATGCAATTCAAACAATAGATAATGAAGCTAAATAAGGTTTATCATCTCATTATCTTGTCTTAATTGCATTCGACGCAACCAAAATTCGACATATAAAACGGGCCTCACTTTTCAGCTTACCCACACTAATTCCCACAGGAATGTGGTGGTCAAATTTAACTGCAGTGCTTTCTTAGATATCGTAAGTGTTCAATGACGCACTAAGATGGCTATTTCAGTTTTATTACTTTTATATTTAGACAATTAGGAAACATTAACACTATGATAGATTTCCTGAATTGCACTCTACATTTGCTATTGAACATTCCTGCAGCTGCATATATGGTGCTATGTTCTAACAATTAAACGTATTTCTAAAATAAAAACATATACTTGCTTTAGTTCAACGTTTCTCTGGAATAAAAAAATTACTCCTTTTCCTTCTGGGCGACTCGGACCTGCGTCACCATTGTATATGATTGTATTTTTCCTCAATTTTCGAGATAACTATATAGTGCGGTATATATAAGTCTGACAATGTTCCAAACGTTAGTGACATAGTTTACTTTTTCTTCGCCTACCAGTCCTAGGGCTAGGTCAGATGTACCGTGGAATCCCGAAGGTAGCGTTCAACCCCTCGAAAATATGGCTCGATCCTCGTCAATGGCTACAGCGGCCCTAAAGCTAGAACTACTAAGAAGAAATGCTTGAAGGCAAAAGAAAAGCAATTTAGCCTTTATCGCAGCCAATATCCACCATTTTTGGGGTACCGTCTTCACTCGTCAAAGAATCTAGAGAATTAAAACAATGTTTTTGTGGTGCGTTACACTCTCAGACCTGGGAGAGGCATTACCTCGAAAATGGTGGATAAAACGATCGTGAGAAAGGCTACTAAATGTGATAAACAGGCATTTGAGACAAAGACGAAAATACCACAGTATGTTAACATATTAATTTTATCCCGTGTAGCAAAGTTTGGTATAGAAGGACGATTGTATATGTACAATGTCGAATTAATCCTGTATTCTGCTATGAATGTTTTACACTACTTGTATGCCTTGCCTAAATTCGACCGTGAAGTAATAATATTGGTCTGTCATCAGTTCCAGGACAAGGTAGATTGTAACAGTTATACTCACGACTTACGCGACTGGTTTTGATCCCCGTCTATAATGTCAATTTTTATTTTCGGAACCTTTGGTTACGTCTCCTTCAGGTTGCTTTAATTTTATGTACTGATAATGAAACAACATTTAGAGATCAGATTACTCAGTCATCATGCAAGCTTCAAAATACTACCGGTGCAGTTAGACCTTTCAAGCACCTTCCTCCCCCCTCCCTACCCCAACCGCCACGCCATTGGATTTCAGCATCAATATCACTGGTTAGGTAGTTCTCTAAGCAGCAGTTGGCATAAAAGGAAAGAAACTTACACGGCAAGGTTTGTATCATAGTGTAATTTATACTTAGTGCCTTTTTGAAATAGTTGGGTTTACTTCCCAAGAACGTAATAACGAAGCATCGGCAGCACTCACAATGATTTTATCTCTAATAATATTTAATATATATCATGCCACATTTGAAATCTCATCGTAATTAAGGTGTATCACATGAAGAGGCTTTCTTTCCTAGTCCAAAAAAGTTAGCCGGAGTAGAGTTTCGTCAGTCATCTTATATGTGAATAAGCCAGATTGCTTTTCCGTTCACCTATATACTGACGTTTAGCTAGTGTTCGAGTGGTACAAATCATGTTCGACTATATGTACTTAGCTTACTGAGTCATCGTCTTTGCACTTTGTTATCGTTATAAGTGTTTAACTTTTATACTTTTAGACAATAACTATACATTTCAATTCTCAGTCAATACTTCTTGGTTTCATATTTCTTGATCATTTTGCATGCCTCGTCATCACAAGCCGTACTTCCATCAAGATCCTTCGAGACTTACACATGCATGCAGTTAAAAATAATTAAACTAGGATGTAATGTTTCAAACATTTTAGAAAGTTTCACCACTCTGAACTATAGGAAGGGTATATTTCTTACACTGATCTATGAATTACTCTTTAATTTAAATATTACGCATATAGCGTACACTCTTACTGTAATGTTAAGTATATTAACAATAATTAAATTAATTAAGTGTACATGCATGTAGTTCATGTGTACTGATAAAAGATTAACTGAAGTTAAACACTGTTGAGTTCAACTCATCCGTATGCCTGTGATTAACGACAAACAATAACACACACAACTTTTGCTTATTGCCATCAGAGTAATTCAGTATAGACTGTAGAGTAGCCGAACTCGACGGATAGATTGACAAGATTGTTGGACTGATCATGCTTTAGCTGCATGGTAGTACCCGGGCATTACATGATGAGACGCGCGACCTTGATTAGCTGTTCTCAATGCTTTCCCAACATGCACTATTGTGTATTCTACTTAAGTTAAAACATAATTGGCATGCACACTGTACTCATTTATTCAAACCATCCTTATTTTATTAATCTAGAGCTTGACTACAGCAAACGTTCCCCGTCACAATGTGTAACAAATAACTCTCATCAGCCAGCTAGCCATAAACGTCGTCATAGACATAAATTATATTGTCATTGTGTTACAAAGAGAATAATTCACACGGAAATCAGTTACAATTATATTAAGTTGTATAATAATTCGGAAAGTTCTCAACGAGTATAAATAGTCGTCTTGCTCGTGCCTGTATTCTGTAATTAATATCTAATTTGCAGTGATTTAATGCCAATTACTAGATAACGGTATATGTAGGTACTAATTATGGTTGTGAAAACAACATTGATATTTAGGCATTGTAACTTAGCATGATCGCAGGAATTTATATAATTTGTAGCTTTGTAAATTGTGCATGGTAGACAGAATTTTGATGTTGTGGATGTGTGTCGCGGATATCATCTAGATCTCAGATTGCAGGGGAGCCAAATTTGTAATCCATGAACAAAGCTATATGCAGATACTTGTGATACTACATGAATACATTTTGTAGAAATGTTCATAATTACATGTTTTCTCCATGGCTTGTGCCAGATATCATTAAATGGTTTCCTAAAACTATGAAACTAATATGAAACGAATTCCTCCTTGTTGCAAGGTCTGCAGAAGTGTGGAATTGTTCTCTCCGACTGAAAATTCATATTTCTAAAATTACGTAGTTAACTTGAACCAAAGTGTGAAATCCGAGAAACGTAGTCAGTAACTATTCGTTCTGATTTAATTATTTAGGCATCTATATCTCCAATGCATCAACTGTAAGTGAATTAATCTCAATAAAAGCATACAATAATTCATTTCGCTGCAGTTATCACACTCGCTGCGCAATTGGTATAACTAAAACGTTTATGAACTCTGCATTTCTGAAGTAAAACAGAATACACTATACTGACCGCATAGCTCGACCGCAGTACTGTTACACAATAAACGTGGGACACAAAGTAAGTATAAAGTAAGAAAAAAAAGTTGTTTTACAACTAGATTCGCTAAATAACAATACTGACTGAACAATTACTGATAACAGGTTACGTTAGGAACAAACTATGCCGGATCTAAAACTAAGCCATAGTCGGCTTAATAACGTGTTCAATTGATTATCGATTGATTAACATAAAAATACAGATAATTATCTTTCTATATCCGAGTTGTACAGTGCATGTATGGTCATGGTATATTAATAAAGGAAGGATTTATAATTATGTACATGAAAACAACTCTTTAATTATTATGCTGTATAACTTCATGAGATGTCTTTCATCATCAAAACTATATATTTTGCAGTTTAAACATGAACTTACAAAGTTGTACGGTAATAAAAGAAATAAAAACGAACATATTAATCCAATAATAGAGTGATATTTTACTTTTTTGGCCTTGCTGTAAATTGCTATGCCGGATATACTAACGTTTTAATTGATATTGCATGTGTTAGATTAGTCGCCGAATATTAATTTGATTATATTGTATTATTTGTCCAGTCGTTTAGTCCTTCTTTCAAATGTTTCCTTGCTCTCATACAATAAACCCATGGCGAAATATTAACGGAATATTCTACATCATTTCTCTACAAAGTTCGATATTTTTCAAGCTTGCCCGGTATAGATATACACTCAGAGTAACACCACAAACATCATATATACAATGTTAATATTTTGATATAGTGTACGCGTAGCTACGGGGGAAATGGGGTTCCGCTCCCCATTATTTTCAAAACTGAGGAGAAACTGGGGGCGTAACCATTTAATGTTTTCATTTATGGTTCTTTTAAAAATGCGTGAAATAGCGTTTCGTAGGCTGGAATCTGAGAAAAATGTTCCGGGAAGCCATACCCCAGATCGGACGGACGATTAGTCCCTCCTCCCCACACACACTCGTTTGGCGCAGGCTACGCCCCTGATTGTACGCCTGTATGAAAACATTTTGAAATATTTCCCATGCAAACGACTGGACAGGTTTGTTAAAAACAATAATCAAATTAATATTCGGCGTCTAATATAAACTTACACATGCAATATCAATTAAACGTTACATATAATGATCCGGAATGGAAAAGTAGTGTAAGGCAAACTGAATAAACACATGCTCAATTTAAGCTAGCATGCTTATAATAAGTAACTTTTTAAAGTATGAAAAACACGATTAATTGAGAAAATCATTGGGAACAAAATTTTGAAAAATTGAAAACAGAAAATTTTTTAGTTATATAATTGCTGAAAGAATTCATGCATGTGACAGGTCTGTAACTAAATAAGAAGTTTAGTGGAAAATATAAAACAGGACGACATGCAGGAATAGTGGAATACTGAATGTAATTTATTCAATTTCTAATGAAGGGCTCTTAGACTACTTCCAGCTGCTCGAAATGTCACAAATATTTTCTTTCTCAAATTTTCGACAATTTAGGTTTCACGTTAATTTAATAAATTGAGACTAGTCAGATCATGCGATTACATGTAACTCTTTCATTTTTCTGAGATGTTGTAGTTTTATTTGGTAGGTAAATATAATAGTATCAAATAAAGTACTTGATCTTGAATATGAGCTTGAATAAATTGTTATAATAATAGTTATAATTTGCGAATTCGTTTTTATCGCTGTGTTTCTGAATTTACTAATATACAGTTTTATCTCCTCTGGGCCGCCATAAAGATATATATTATGGTGAAATAATGTATCACCAGTGGTAGCATTTGAGTGTTTTGTATGTTCTGTAACCTTCTCTAAAATCTCCCAAAAAGGCACGAATATTAGCGATTCATGAAGTAGGTCTATTGCAGTGACTTTTCTCGAAGCGAAAAGAGCATCCGTAAATCCTGCCCAACAGTGGGCGCAGGAAGTCGGTGGCTGTTGTGACGGCTAATTAAAGTACCTCAATAACAGAAGTGTAGGTTATCGTCCCATGCAAATATTATCAAAAAAACATTTACTATGCACCTGATTTCGTCCAGGAATATTTATAATCTTATAAGAATAGAATACAATTGTGTATCTTCACTTATTGTGTCACTGACACTGTTTTTGGGATTGAAGTTTTGTAAACACTGGCGCTCGACTCTATGAATCAGTCTAGAATCCTGATTACGGGCCTGTGTGCCGATGCAGAAACAAAACTAAATAACTGCCAGTAACTTAATTTTGTATTCAGCCAAATGGCAATCCCATGTATGCATTCCTCAAAAATCCCACGTCTTCCCGAATTCCTTCCAAAATTTGTCGGAAAATCCAGTGCCATAATATCCGTATATAGAAAATCGAAAAATCTCTTCCAATCAAAATCTTCAAATACTTCATTGACATCCGTAAATTCTGTTGAAATCCAAAATCTCTAGTATGATTTTGGTAATCGATCTACACGGAGCGGATTTGGTTCAGCAAAGCTAAATATGATCTCTTCATCACATGCAAATTGATCGAGGCGGCGTAAAAGTAGTTATAAATATTGTGTGTTGTATGATATATCTTGGTCGCATTCTAAGATTTTCTCAAAAATTTTGCGGAATATGATAGATCATGTACTGTACCTTTTATACAATTATATACATGTACAAAAAGAAATTTGATAAAATATATTGCTTTAAAAGCTGTATGATCGTTGGCGTTGCGTATAGACAGGATATAATTTCAGTGCTTGATTACCCTTTTTATTATATTTAATTTTATAATTAATTAAATAGAAAAGAAAGGAAAGTTATTTGCATGCGCGAATTTGAAATCATTTTATTTCAAACTCAAAGTTTATCGATAAAGGCATGCAGTTTAGTTTTATACAGAACATTTTAAAACGTTTTACGATTTACGAAGCGTTTGTGAATTGTGGTTGATTTTTACCTTTTATTACATAGGCTACATGACAAAATTACTGCAATCTGATTGGTTAAGCGGAGTGCAATTATTTCATTAATTATTTATCTTCTGTAATCAGTGGCAAGTACTGCAATTTCATTGGTTTACAGGAGTGCGACTTGAGAATTAATCGCTGCATCTTTTCTGAGCTGTAATCGCATCCTTGTCTACAGCCAATGAAAATCAGTCTAGTATTTACAACTAGCCAACCAGCATTCAGAATACAAACTTTGAATTTTATCTTTTTTATTGCTGTAAAAATTCTCAAAATGGAGGAATTTACAAATTGTCATTTTGTGCTTTTCCCCCTTAAACAGTTTGATTACAGAAGATAAATAATTAAATAATATAATAAGTAATAGAACGCATTAAGTCGTACTATTAATGCCATAATCATACTTATAATCTGTCCCATTTGCAGAAACTCTAATGTGGACGCAGCTTGTAGCTGCTGACTAGTTAACATTTTAAAAATTTACGTTAAGTAGGGCCTAACTGTTTATATATTATTTTGTCTGTTATATATGTTGTAATCTGGAGTCAAGCCTTGTGAGGGGCCACGTGTCCTATTGCTTGTCTCCTGTCAACTTGTCTTTTGTTGCAAATGTCCTAAATCAATAAATAAATAAATACTCAGCTCGTGATTAACAAATCAACCTCCAGCTACGCGGTCGGTTGATTTCGTAATCACTCGTATGGTTGGGGGGAGCGGGAAATCAAAACAACAAAACTCCAATAATGGGGCGAAATGTTTCTTGAAATAATTACAAACGTGGACGAATTTAACTAAATATTAATTGGCACAAGAATGAGTTTAAAAACATAGTATGGAAAAAAGAGCTTGTGGAAAATACCTGGACTATGTAAGTCTGTAATACAATTTATAAAGATTTTCTTACTCTAAAATATGTTGTTTGAGTTTGAATCATGTGTTCTAGTTTAAGTTATGTGCCTTTATGAGTTTATGATCATTTCCCAAGTTTGTTTATGCCAAATTGCTTATACAAAAGAATTTTAATTTAGTTTTTTAAAAAAACTCGTGACAAAATCAGTTCAATTTTAAAGAAAGCGATTTTGTCATGCATATAATAAATAAATAAATAATCACACGGGCAAGTCGTGCAATTAATGATTAATACTACTCGTGATATTTGAAATATGTGGCAAATTGCACTCGCCTCGATCGGTGGCTCGTGCAATTTTGGCAAATTTTTCAAATATCACGAGTAGTGTTAATCATTAATTGCACCCCTTCCGATCCCGTGTGATTACCTATTCAAATTGAAGCTAACATTACATATATCATTACATATACCTAGCATATACAGCTGATTCAATTAAGGCACAGTTATTAAGGTTGTTCTTCCAAAACCTTAAACCTTAAACTCTGAGCGCGCAAGGGATGATGGGCTTTCACCTATTAGGCAATTAAACTCAGAAAATTGCCTTTGCAGCCATTATGTTTTCTATCGTGAGTCTTCTATATCTCTTAGGTATTCTTACAAAGCCAAATTTCAAAGTTTATGAGTCTAAATAAGCAATAACCCATCATCCCTTGCGCTCTAAGAGTTCAAGGTTTAAGTTTTTGGAAGGACAACCTTAATTTAATTAGCTGTATATGTTTGGGAAATTGATAATTTTGTAATAAAAAGTGATATTAATTTTTAGGGAATTTTTCAATCGTAAAAATTTCTTAATAAAATTACCGTGTTACCATGATAAATACTTTAAATTCTTCATGTTTGAAAAATACAATGGTTTTGTCAACAAGGCGAGCGTTTGTGCATGCATGTATTTTCTGGTATTTATCTATATCTATGCCGAATATTATGCTTTTGACAAAATTGTTATTCGCGTATAAAAATTTGCACAAATAGGCTGGACTGTAAGTAGATCTAGAAAGTAGTTTAAAATCACATTGTTTTAGTTGTTATACACGCCATTGTTTTCTCATAACAAAATTGCGCGCAACAAATGGTGATGACGCAGCCAGGGGCGTAGGAACCGTGGGCCAAGGGGGCCTAGCCCTCCCTCCAAGTTTTCAGAAAACACAAAAAGTGCCCTTATTCCGGTGGCAAAGTGCCCTTTGCCCTCGAGAAAAATTTTGTTCAGATTACATTTTTGACCCACGGATTGTTGCAAAGTAACATTTGTGAGTCTTTCTGGTTACTTGAGTGCGGGGCAGTTAAACGACAAGAAATGACTAGTCTGCTTGGCGCGCACTCTATGCCTGCGAATCTGGCCTTTCAGTACCGAAAATCGGGCTGGAGCACAACAAATTGCAAAATTTGCACGATGCTCGTTTGCAAAAATAACTGCAAACCAGTGGCGTAGCGCTCATTGGTTAGGGTTAGTTCAAAAACTAAGGGCCCCCGACAGGTAGGGGCCCCCATCAGCCACAGCCTATCGCCCAGAAAATTAGAAAACGTAAAAGATGCAGGTGAAGAAAATGAAAAATTAACAATGCTAAATAATAAAGCCTCCATCGACAACGGTAGCTGATTTTTTATTCCATCTCAAATAAAACAAAAGTTATTCTTATTGGTTGTTACATGTATTGGAGACTGTTATTGTTATTGTTATAGACACGGAATTTTCCAGAACATTCTGTAAATATTCAATATAAATATAACATCTCAGTCAAACAATGACAACAGGCATTTTATCTAACAGGGGCCCCCACACCAAATATGCCTAAGGGCCCCCTCTTCCTCCGTTACGCCACTGCTGCAAACTGCTTTAATTCTTTGTGTCACTTTCATTTGATTTCATCCGTGAGTTGGCCTCAACGGCCTTTGATTTATGATTGGATTTACTCTTCCTTCTTCCCCCGTCGCGGACATTTCCGGGGAAAAAGTTTTAGGTGCCCTTTCCATTCCAAAAGTGCTTCCTACGCCCCTGGACGCAGCGTGAAATTTCGCAGGGCGTTTTTACTGGTGTCGAATGTCAATAAAATTCAATTGTTCGGAGGATATTGCCGTAACACAGACATTACAAAGCTAATAGCTATAACTGAAGTAGAATTGATCTTTCGAACTTCGTGCCTCTACGCAAACGCAAAGTCAAAAACGCAGAAAAAAGACAAAAATGGGTTTTGTTCTCCAAGAAAAAGAACGTCTACAAATATAAACCTATCGCTGTGCAAAAGCTCGCTGAAAGAGAGTAACAAAGGGTCTTGGTTCGCTCAGGAAAGCCAGTGGTCAGAAGATTTAAATGCTCCCATAATTGCAACTTTAGCTGAACCGGTAACTTGTGGCAATTAAGTGAAGATAGAATCTAAAAAGGAAGTTTTTCTTGCTGAAAATAATGCCATTGCTGTCGATGACCCCTCCCCTGGAATTTCCACATATTTTAAGTGAATTTTTAGCCTCCCCTGTGGAATTTCCACAATTTTTTTATGAACTTTTAACCCATCCCATGGAAATTCCTTGACAGTTTTTGATCTGGCATGTGGAAATTCCGTATTGATTCTTTGATTAGTAGCTATCTCTTGGAAAATTCCTTGCTGATTTTTATCCTATCCTTTGGAATTTCTTTTTCATTGTTGACCCTCCCATGGAAATCCATACGTTTTACTCATTTTTCTTACTTACCCTTTGGAATTTCCGCAGATTTGCTTTAAAATTTGGACCCTCCCATGGAAATTTCTTTATTTTTGGTTCACTTTTGTAGAGGGCCAATGGAAATTCCACATGTCCTCAATAGGGGGGGATTAATAATGCGATCAGCCGATGGTCCTCGTATATATGATCCAGATTCAAGTGATCGTGAGAACAAGGGCGTCTATGATTTAATTAACAATTATTCGCCGAAGGCGAGGTGATTATCGGTGAATAAAAACCGAGACGAAGTCGAGGTTTTTATTCACGATAATCACCGTGCCTGAGGTGAATAATTGTTTTAGTATAATTTCATAGGTGATCATTTGGAAAAAATTTTAAACCAATCAGCGACCAATCAGCGTGGAGAATTTTCAATAATCACCTATGTAATTATACTAACTTTCCTTAAACCCTCAGGTAACTATGCTGTACATTGTTAATCCTGGCAATATGTAAGAACTGCGGAAGAATTCTGCGGTTTCGCCGGTTTGTAAAACTTGCTACAACCTTTTACAAGTTGTCGAAAAATCGGGGATCAAAGCAATGTCTTGGAGCCAAATGAATATCGAGTGAGTCTCGCCAGTTTAGTAAACTGTTTCTAATTCCCTATAAGGTCCCCAAGGCGGGCAGAATGTACGAAATAAACCGTGCGCGCGTGAGTTGTTGGTTTTCGTGCTAAAAAGTGAAAGTAAATTTCATTTTTACAAAAAGAAGATCATCAACTCCATTAGAAAATTGGAAAAATAGCAAAAATTTAAACCAAGTATAAGATATTCAAGTGAGTGGTATACGGGTGATACGCTCTCTTTTGAGTTCGTATAAATTGCATGTAACACAGTTGGTACTTTCACCATAAGACCCGTAATTGTTTCATGAATCTGCAGGTTTATTATTCATTCAGCATCAGTGACTTGTTCGATTAATTGAGGTCTATACATATAATCTTAAGTTGCCATACGAAATTTGGAGTCATCATGTATTTCCTTTTTCGTGTTAATTATATTAAATGACTTGGATGATCAAGCTCAAGTTGATCAAGTACACAGCATGGGGTACACTCTTTCATGTCGAAAACAGGAGTGCATGCACTCTTAATATTATACAGTGCATTCCTGCTGCAATTTAACGTAATATTGTTGATTTTAATTACTGCTAAGTATACTTTGTTTTGATCAACTGCCTATATAATACAGGCCTAATTACATTTCAAACACATTCGTCATCACCTCTTTAGATATCCCATTCGTTTAGTGGCAGTAAAGTGTGTGCTCACATGTACCCAGTTAACCAGTTAACTGTTAATTTTCTCGATGTCGTAGTTGAAAATGCTGGTGGTAATTTCATTACAAGTTTGTTTTGTAAACCTACTGATTGCCACCATGCAGTATCTTCACTATGATTCATCACACCCTGCACATGTTAAAAGGTCTATAGTATATAGTCAGGGTCTACGCATCAAGAAGATCTGCTCAAGAGAGGAAGACGCTGATAAACATTTGCAGGAATTGTCGAGTTGGCTGCAAAATAGAGCCTACCCAATGTGGCTTATTAGGAAAGCATTTAAGAGGTTACAATCTTGTGATAAAGCATCTAACAAAAAAAGAAAAATAGGAGTACCTTTGACAATTACGTTTCATCCTCTGTTAAAGGACTTCGCCTTCGGTCTTATAATCCGTAAATATATACATCTATTATACTTAGATCCAGAAGCTCAGAAAATGTTTTCGCCAGGACCATTCAGTTGTGGCATTTAAAACTGGCCGCAACTTGAAAAGTTATTTAGTTGGCTAAAGTACCGCCGTTAGTGAGGGAAAAGGGGTGTAAGAAATGTAAGAAAGCACGATGTTTAACATGCAATAATATTCGAGAAACCGACAGCTTTGAGTGTTCAACAGATGGTAAACAGTACAAAGTGAACCATAGGTTGAATTGCGACTCGAAATGTGTGGTTTATCTTCTTACCTGTAAAGTCTGTAAAAAACAATATGTTGGCGAAACAACAGATAAATTTAGGTACCGTTGGAATAATTATAAAGCTTGCCACAAAAAGGCAGTTAATAACGAGGCCTATACACAAATGTTTTTCCATCAACATTTCTTGGGTAATGGACATAATGGATTGATTAGTGATTGCGAGATTGTTTTAATTGATAAAACTGACCCAGCGGAACCGACCAGACATGAGGCATTTTGGATAAGCAAACTAAAGACAATGCATCCTTCGGGATTGAACATAGAGAATGCGATAGTAATGTTAATTATAGTTAACAGGATATTGTTACTTGTATGGTAAATCACTTATATTCATATTATGCATAATTAGCAAAATTGGGAGGGTATAATTGGGAGGGTATATCAGCATTAAAATTTCTGAAACTGCGTAAAAATATTTGATCCGGCCAGTCATGGCATTATGTATGCGAAAATAGGACACAATTGTTGAGTATTAATTTATAAGTATGATTTAATCCTTAAGATATTAACATGAAATATGTGTGAACGCTTCAGTCAAGACTATTGTTTTCAATCTCGTTCTTTAATGTTCAACATATTCCATGCAGGATCCTGCCACCACACCCGTTTCTCCCCCAGATTACTTTCTTAGACTGCTTCTGTTTAAATGTCCCAAAATTTGATGTGGTTCGAAGTAGATTCGTATGCGTATAAATTTCGTTGTTAAATTATGGTACTTTGCATGAGACAAAATACTTAATTCCCAGTTAAAAGCGTGGTTTATGGGACATACCTATATTGCTATGGATATTGCTATAGGTACTTACGGCACTTATTTTATACTCTCAGCCAAACAAAGGAGACCCTCCCAAAACATTACTCAAGATTTTGTTAATTGCACTAATAACTAATATACGCGTTTCCTGTTATTTGTTTTACAGTTTTAGCGTAATCAATGCTTCCTTATTCGTGAGGTTATGCAACAAATCAATTCTATAGGCGTGTTCATTCATGTAACTGCTTTATAATTCTACATCAAACCAGATATTTTAACATTAAAAATCCGACCCGGAGCTCCTAGTTTGCTGGCGGACAGTGGTCAAGATGGTTGTTTATGCCAAATTTCGGATGTAGTTCAATATACCGGCTGTATTTCCTTGCCCGCGTGAGAAATGTAATAGTACATTCCAGCAATTGTATTAAGGCCCACATCGATCTTCGGGAAAAAAGAAATGAACTTTCACTCACTCACCCTCTCAGCTCAACGTGGACGACCAGTGGTTCTACTCTATATATATGGACGATACTATATAATGCATATGATTTATTGAGAGAAAATCAATCTCCCTATATGCATAATTTAAACAAATTATAGACGGACCTGCATATTTGCATATATGCTACTTTTAAAAGCTGCAAAGATTATTTATTAGTGCTTCCTATACACATTAAAGGTTTTTCACCACACTGGCCATAACGATATTTAAGACAGGTGGGTGTAAATTATAAGTTATAACACTATGTTTATAATTACCCTTAAATCTCTCTATTTTTTTATCAAAAATAATTCTTTTAGTCCATCTATAAGTCATCACCAAATCAAATACCGTTACTATTACTATTACTAGTTTATATCCCACATACTTCCATGCCATAAATAATCATTTTAAATTATATTCATACGACTGCATCTATCCGATCGTTTCTATTTCCATTTGCCCCATTGTGACAGATATGCTGCTCATACCTCGTTGAGCATCACGCGGTTGGCTGCTAGTCGCAGTAATATTATAGGAAAATGACTAAATCATGTCTTAATGTCTTTAAGTAGATATTTGGACAGATAATTATATATACTGTTTTTTTGTCATATTCGCGCATGCATGCATGTAATCCTTTCGTCCTTTTGATAATGTAATTCTTTATATATGTTGCAAACAAATCCCAATTCCATGTATAATATATGCATGGTAGAACTGAATTAAAAGTCAGACGTTTTTTCCTGGCCCAATTTGCTGTTCTTGTACTTGTTAACCTGACACAGTAAGTTAGCTGTAAGGCTGGCAGCGAAGAAAATAAATTAAAACAGATATGTTATTGTTTTTCTCCAAATTTTAAGAATATATTTCATAAGACATGTATTTTTGCGGAAACAAAATAACGACATGATACTGCAACCTACGACCTAACCGGCGCGAGGAAATTAAATCTAATAATATGTGTATAAATTCGTAAACAATCATTATACGAAGTCTCCACATCGGAAATCTAACGAACAATATACATACTTGTACTCCCTATTAAATGTGTTCTCTAACAACTTGAGAAGGTGTTAACGACATGCATAATGACGTTAGTCGTAAAGAATTTTAATTGGACAATAAAGCATTTAGACAGTGAGAAAAACAGTCAGCGAGATGAAACAGCATGTTGAAAATGTGCACTGGCTCACAAAAGCATATCAAATTTTGAATATTTTATACGAATGTTTGTCAAAAGGAATGTACTCAAATTAATTAGTGCGCATGGTAAAGTTGGAAAGGTTGAGAAACATGCACATCTAGTAAATTGGTATTGATTAAATGATTAACAATTTCGAAAGTATCTAACTGATATGAAGCCAATACATAAAAAATATATTTTATTCACCCACAACTCTGCAAAATCTTGATACTTAAACCAATATAATGAGCTATGGTAACTCAAAGGGAAAAAATAAAAACATGGCAACGATACCATAAAAGGCTTAATGAGGTAGACTCCAAGATATAGGGGGCACACGTGCAAGGAAACAGACTAGCAGATTTACTGAAGATTCATAATATTTTGATTTCTTGCAGCCCAACAATTGAGTTTGGAAAAATAACCCGATGAAGGTGAGAAAAAGATTTATTGAATCCAAATTGAAAGTGTTTTTAAGTTAAGAAACTTTGAAAACGACTTATAAAGGAAAAGTATTAGCTATCTGAAACAAGTCGTATGGTCAAGTAATCTGAAATAACTTGTGTTGTTGTAAAGTGATTGATTACTTGATATTTTTATTCAAACATGTGGAAATTTTTGTTTGTCTTAGATGCAAGTATAGAGTTATTTCTCGAAGATTCTAAAACAAGGACATGCTACAATTACCAGAATGTTTAGTACGGGCACAAAGAAAAAGATGACTGTGCACTTTACACATCCAATTGTATACTTTACTATTTTGAGTATCATATTGACTTGAACCGGGTAAATTAATAAGGATCTAAAAATCACTCCTTAATTATAATGCAGTTAAAATCCTAAATATGAGTGCAAGAACAGCCAGCGGTTAGAAAATGGAAAATTTATGACCGCAGTATGAAAGCGATTATTGTGTATAAGACGTGTACTGAGTGTATATAGTATTGAATTTAATAATTAGTTAATTGGATTTCTTTCTTTACTCATTATGATTTAGTCGTTGCCAAATTACTGTTATCTCAGACAATTGAAGCATTGGTTGACTTTCACACATGTACATGCACTGTTTGCTACACTTTTATGTTTTGAGAAAGACATCTTCCACGCGATTGTTAAATAACTGCATGGTATTTGCAAATTAAATAAAGGCACTAAATGCTCTTTCTGGTACGACTGGGTTAAATCATATATAGCATGCGTACATCATTCAATAAAGTCTTCTCTTGAGTCTTGTTTTATTCAATAATTAAAACAAATTGAATAATCAACATTGCGTAGTAAGAAACATTGCGTAATAAAAATACCTGTATACCTCAAGTATACAATTTTTATTACAATTATACAGTTTCGTTTAAGAAACATTGTGAAATGATGAAGTACGATACATTTTCTCTATTCTGACTTGCTAGTTTATTTGGTCGGCTACCTTTGGGGAATTAGTGGAGCACAAGCGGATATAAAACTATTTGAACGGAAATTAACGTTCAAAGTCAAACTTTGAAACTGTTCATATGCATGAGCTGTGCCTGCCCGGTTAGCCGGGAGGAATTGTGTCACGAATTATTTTCTCTGGCCATGAAAGATCGTTTGAGTGAACTTTTTACTGTCACTGGAATCAAACCAATTAGCTAGTTCAATTTTGAAATGTTATTTTGGCATTTGTTGATGCCAGCTCTTTTTTCAACCACTGAAAAAGGCGTCACACAATTTATAGGAATATAGAAATGATATGAATAGTTTGAAGAATTTGTGTTTTTCTTCAGGGTTGATTTTTTATAACTTTCTCTTCGACTGATTTCATAGATTACGTAATGACTGCATATACTAACATTTAAAAGGTGACGAATTTTCAAAGAACAGCTTACTGTATAATTCATTGCTCAGTAACGCAAACTACACTAACAATAACGACTCAATCTAATTATCTCATCAGTGTGTGTATAAAATATTGCGATTGTTAATAAATTTAATTAATTCCGTGGGCATATATACAAGCAGTTTAAGTAGAAACAATGCTGTATTGCTTTGTGCAGTGTATTAATTGGCATTGCGTAGTCAAACGCCTAGGCGGCCCACTTTGCAAGCAATATCCGCTTGTATAGTTGTTGTATAGTTTATTTACCATTTACGGTCTTTCAGTAGAACAATTAAGTTATACTTGTTGGAGTGCTTATAATCATGCAATGATTCAAGAATCTCAACAGTAAAGGATTAGAATTGTCCATGCTCATCGTTTACAAGGCGAGATTGTACCATATATCTAGTGTTTATCCTTTAGTTCAGCGAGTTAAAGCGCAGCATATTAACTGAACATTGTCCTCGAGGGTAATTATTATTTCATTGAATTGATACTTCAGTTGTTGATTAACTTAAATTTGCTTGGCTTGCTATCGATACTGTAAACACTTCCATAATATAAATCATGAATATTAATTTTTTATTGAAGATTGTCTCAGGAAAACACTGCTGATACCCTTCATGGGCTTAGCCTTAAATATCATTTCAAGAAGGACTGGACTATTGAAGAGGCACAACCTTACACAAACACAACCGAAGATGAATGTTGAACGACAACCACATCCACATTCAATTGAAGCTATTCTCGGTTTGAAAGATACTAGCAAGCAAAACGTACAGTCGTTCCGTCCATATAGCAAACCTAAAACTGAATGCATTGCTATGAATGAAACGTCTGCAAGTACTGGTAGTTCTTTCACACGATTAGTGCCACGAGCAGGGCGCCTTCCAGGAGCATCAGTGTTACTGAAAGCTGAGACAGAGCGATGGTTTGTACGTTGTGGTTTACAAACGCAACCAGATAATTGGTTGGAGAAAATGGATGCATATTCGTTTAGAGCAACGATGTTAAGGACAGAAATAAGCGAACAAGGTATATGAGAGTTAAATTCTTAATAATTATTGGATGAGGTTGAGCGTGGTATTGAAAATTTTCAAGGCCGATGTTGTGTTAACAGGCATGTGAAGCCACAGGCTGAGGCAGATAACCGTTACAAACTGAGGCTTTGATAATCCAGTCTCGATATCATGGGAAACCCAATAGAATTACCCGTACATAAGAAGAAAGAAAATTGTTTAAGTAGAATAGTCTTAGGATTGAGTAAGGTTTGCTTTCTCATCAAGATACTTGATGAAAACTATTGATGCTGTCTTTCGAGCTCGACTAATGATTCCCGCTTTCAGTAACAGAGGTAGATCTTTCAGTATATAGAGGTTTTATATCTTCTTCGATTTGCTGGAGTTACAATTATTCTCTGCAGAGCCGACGTCATATCACTACATTGCACAAATATATTGTCTGCAAGTATGACGTCATAATTAAGCGATATCAAGAAGGGAGATTGTATAAGTAATGTGTAAATATAGTTATTTGAGTAATATCCCACAACTATAGTTATATAGCTATATACAGGGTGTATAGAAATTTAGCGCGCAATTGAATCTGAATTACTCTGTATATGAACGAGATTTTTTCATATTCGGAAAGATCGGGATTTTAGCTGTTGGATGATATGTTCTTCATGCCAAATTAAATGGATAAAAAATGAGCAAATACGAAATGTTAGTCAGAATCGCATATTAAAAGGGAATTTAAGATCTTGACGACGAACTACCGACTACGTTTGAAATAATTTTGTGTTCGGTAAGTTTAATTTTTAATTTTCATGATTTCTTTATAAAAATACTGTCCAACCTGCAATGACGTTGCGTAGTCAGTTTCGGTGCTATGTTCTTGATTCTGTTTTATACAACACAAGAATGTGATTTTTACGCTATAGCGAAGTCGCTAAGGTGATCTGCTCTGGTATAATTATGTAAATGTTGTCTGCCCTGTGTAATGCGAAAACAAGCATTCAACCATATACCGTACCCGTTGTTCGTTTTCGGCTTCTTAAACTCCCTAAAATTAACCCTCTTTGGGACTTAAGTTGATGAAATGTCAATTGAAATGTCAATAAACTACGCAAATATTCATAATTATTATTACGTAGGAATAAATCTTAGCTAAGCTACTACAAGTTCGTGATTAATTGCTTTTTCTTTTGTTATACACTGCTTTAATTACTAGGCACAGTGGTGAAAATATGCGATTCTGACTTAACATTTTTTATCGGATTCGTAATTGCATGCTCATTTTTTCTCCACTTGGCATGAAAAACACCTCATTCAATGTAGCTAAAAGGCTGATCTTTCCGAATATACTAAACATGAAAAAAATTTGTTCATACGCCGAGCAATTCACGTATAATGGCGCGCCGAAGCTCGATTACCTTTTTTTTCTACACATGTAGTGCAGCAAATTTTGTATTTTTTTAAGATTGATCATTTCAACTTGCAATCTAGTTAGTTGCTTACATGTATTTAGTCTAGCATGATTTACTGAAATTAAATGATCCATTTGATCAGTTTAATTTATGAATAATAAGATGGAAATGCGGTTATCTTCATACCCTGGCCAAATTAAGTAAATGTAATGTAGAGATGCCGATGGGGAGATTAAAAATGTTGATGTGGAGAATGTCTCAGGGCGCGTAGAAATCTTGGGTCCTATCAGCGTGATAGCTGTTTCCGTCAGCAGAGCGATCATGGCATTTCGTCTGCAAGACAATATACAGGGTGTATCAAAATAAACGCAACCTCGGAATTTCCTAAGAAATCACTTTGCAATTCTTAAGCATAAAAGATTTTAGGCCCCTGGGAATTGAAATTGAATTGCTAATAGATCATATTACTGTTGTTGTGGATTAAATAAATGCATAAATTTTGCTTGATGCACTCGCGTGTGCAGTAATTTTGACAGTTATGCTATTTTAAATTCCCAGGCGCCTAAAATATTTTGTCTTTAAAACAATGTTGATTTCTTGGGAAATTCCGAGGTTGCGCTTTTTTTGATACACCCTGTATATTTATAATTATGATATATCCAATTATTATTTATGAATTATGAGTAATTATGGTTTATTACCTATACATGTCTGAAACAGAGCTTATACATTCAGTGGAATACACATAAAAATGCATTCCGCCTTGATATAGCTGCAAACGATATCAAATGCGTTAATTCTCCCATGGCCAATTACTGAAATATTATAACTAAAAAATATTATAAGTGCACTCATGCAAAATTATAATAATTTCAGAGCAATATAGGTATGAACAAAATGTTTTGTAAACACGTTTACGCCAATTTATTTATTCTAGGTGAAACTGATAATTTTATGGTGCAAAGGCCAAAATATAGCGAAGAAGATCCCGAAGTCTGCCTGAAACAACGTCGTAGGCGGACAGCTTTCACAAGTAAACAGTTAACTGAACTTGAAAAAGAATTTCAAACCAGGAAATATCTCTCCGTTGAAGAGAGACATCAAATTGCGAGAGAGCTGAAACTCTCTGAGATGCAGGTAAAAATATGGTTCCAAAATAGACGTGCAAAGTGGAAACGTGCACGACGTGGCACTTCGGGACGGACAACTAAGACCGACGGTGCATGTAATAAAAGTAGGGTAGTTGTGCCCATTCCTATTCATGTCAATAGAACAACTGCAAGAAATCATCTTCATATACCGTGAACAAGTGAATGTTTATATCTGCACATTCCATGCCGTGATTGCTCTTGGAGTTATCTTTGTGAAAATGGAGAGAAGTCCAATACCAGAAGGAAGGAATGAACTGATGAAACTGGCCCGGCTAAACATCACAATAAACTTGCATGTACATATACGATCACAGAATTGAATTTCACTGAAATAACTATACAATGTAAAATTGTATACAATAATCAATATTTACAGTGGTAAATTAAGAACTAGGAAGTTCTGAAAGCATAGCAAGTAACTGAAAATGATAATTCACAGCAATCCACCTTTACTACGATAAGTAATATTGTCATATTGTCAATACATGGACAACTTTTGTTGCCTGCCACTAAAAATATATACACGAAATAAAACTACAGAAAATCATATAAGAAAGGAAAAATTCCGATAATTTGTTTCAGTAAGTAAGTATAATTCTTTAATGCCTCTATATTTGAAGATACGAATATTTACAATTTATAAATAAATAATTAAAATTAATTTAAAAAAAGACAAACAACACACGTGCACAAACTAATGAATATAGTCTCTGAATCCAGATAGATGTCAATGTAACTGCATGGTTATTGTTATTATCTGTGAAATCAACTCAGCATGCAACGATAATGTAAAAGTTTTGCACTTGATTATTGTCATATCCTTGCATGGATTGCATGTTTCCAAAAATCGTGTACATAAAATTGTCCTCACCTAACGAGTTAATGTTTGCTACGAGTTCCATTGGAAAAAATCTGTGATGCGTTCCCAAAATTTTGTTCTCGCTAATTGCGTTTCACAACAATGCAACATAGCATATTTTACAGGATTTATGTAGTAGTTACCACAAGACATACAGTAAAATTGTGTTTTTTTCCCCAGTAAATCTCACACCATTCACATAGAATGACCCACAAAGAATTTTAACAACAATTGCCACTTGGTTGGCCATCTCGCTGATTTCAAGAGCAAACTGCAGCCACATGTTACGCATTGGTTCTTTTACGACTTGATTGTATAATCCTGATTGTTTATAATGTTGCGTTTTGATATTCCACAACTCAATCTCCGTATGTCTTGATTATAATATTCTCAATTACTGTTTTCTTCCATTCAGATTTGCTGGGAAAATTACAGGGCAGCTTTTTACGATATCTTGACCGTGGTCCAAAAGAGTTATTTTTTAGCAACAAACAGAGGAGTGAAGACAATTTTCAAACTCAAAACACTACCCAAAATGTTAAAAAATCCACCCTATCGATACTAAAGATAGTAAAATATAGTAAATTGACTTCAGCGGACTTAGAGCCTAGCCCGAAATGTACTTTTCTCCGGCCAAAATGCGAAAAAAATAAATATAAACATCGAAAAAACACTGGCCAGTGATACACATGTTTTGATTCAATGCTCCACATATATTCAGCTACTCTGCGAAAATATACCTATAAATATAAATACTACAACGTACAACTTACAGCGAACCCGACGAAATTCATGTCGAAGAGGAAACCCAAGTTGAAAGCGAAGGCCAGCGCTATCTTGAAAATATTAACAACGAGCGTTTTCTTAGTGATGGTACAGATAGTGATAGCAGTGATGATACTGTAAAGAGTTATAATAGACAAGCCACGACTCCTGTATCAAATACATGTAACACCAATGTGTCGGCTCTGCATGATCTCGAGAGAAGAATGAACCAACTCGAATCAGAATTAAAAGAAAGAATTATCGGTATGCGAACGGAATTCAAAACGATGCAAGAGACCGAGCTATCAATTAAAGGGCAAGCTGAATATATAACATTTCTAAAATCCCAGAATAAACGTTTGGTGATGGAAAATAGAGAGCTACAAGAGAAGTCGTTCAATCTATTATATATCGTTTCAGATCTAAATACCAAGTTAAAAGAGGCAGAAAATGACAAGCTCAGTCTTGTAACTGCCATAAAAATTCCTACAGACAGAAATACCTGAGAATGCGGCCAACAATCACACTAAAGCTGGTAATACAAAAGCAACCGGTCAAAAGGAAACGTTTGACGGCGATATTCGTCTAGTTTATGTTAGTAAGCCAATGCCTGCCGTGGAGACAAGAAATCGGTATAACGTTTTAAGCGATGTAGTGGCAAAACCTTCAGAGAGTGATGCATCTTCAAGTGAATTTATTGAGCCTGAGAAGTCAAAGACAGCAAGTGGAATGTCTGGTCAACGTGTAAACGGGAAAAACAGGAAGTCTAGAACGACGGTCATAATAAGTGACTCTGAATGACAAAGCCGGCACATTGATGTTCAGCGACTGGAAAGATCTGTCCGAGGCTCTAAAGTTCGATTGGAAACCTACAGTGGTGCAAATGTAGAAGCAATCAGTCACCATGTACAACCATGCTTAAAGAAAAAACCTGATGATCTAATCATTCATGTTGAAACAAATGATCTGAAGGCTAAATCATCAAGTGATGTCGCAAACGAGATAATAAATTTATGTACAGCTATTTCGGAAACGCATCCATCAACAAGAATTAACAAATCAGAAATAATAACAAGGACAGATCAAATTGACCTGGTACCAAAGATCAGAGAGGTAAATACAATTCTCGCAAACTGTTGTAGACAAAGAAACTGGGGATTAATTAAACATAATAATATAGGTGCAAAACACTTAAATCATTATGGATTTAAATAAAATGGGAACTGCAGCCTTTGCCAAGAACATTATTCATTTTATAAATAATTGATGTCTAGAAACCCCCAAGGATAGCTCTAAGGATAACAGTATAATTTATTCAGAGAAACATGATAATCAGGAAAGCATGCTTCATTCTGTTTCAGATGGGAAAACAATCTATGAAGGCATGCTAAATTTTGACCAAGATTTAAAAGAAAATAACTGTGAGAGCATGTTGTATTCCGGTTTTGAAGAAAATCGTAATAATCAAGATAGCATGCAAAATTCTTCAACCAGAATAAATTATGAATGCATTCAAAAAGAAATACAAAGTGTTAAGGGATTTAAAATAGCTCATTTAAACATTAGAAGCCTTTGTTTTTTAAGAAAAAAACAATTTGATATAATTTGCTTAAACGAGACAATGTTGGATGAGACTATAGCTGACAATGAAGTTTTGATTGACGGTTATGAAATTATACGCAAAGACAGAAATAGACATGGAGGAAGGGTATTACTTTACATACGGAACACAATTAACTATAAACTAAGAAATGAGTTAATGATAGAAAGCCTTGAGATGGTCACAGTAGAGGTCATGAAACCTAAAGCAAAATCCTTTCTCGTTAATGCTTGGTATAGACCACCTAGTTCAAAAGCTGAGCTTTTTGACGATTATGAGAACGTTTTAGAAAAAATAGATGCAGAAAATGTAGAAGTGATTTGCATAGGTGATTTTAATTGTGACTGGTCTAAACAAGGCATGCAATCACATACAGATAAATTAAAAGATATGATGGAATTATATCAATTTGAGCAACTTATCAAAGAACCAACACGAGTAACTGAAAACACTAGTACACTTATCGATTTAGCGTTTTCAAATAAAGCTGAAATTATTGTTCGATCGGAGGTACACCATATAGGAATTAGTGATCATAGTTTGATATGTATAACAAGAAAATTATCGATCCCTCGTGGTGAGCCACAAATTGTTAATACTAGACAATACAAAGGCTACAATAAAGACAATTTTATTGCAGATTTATCACAAATATTTCATATAGATTTTGATCAACAGTCTGATGACATTAATTATATATATATATATATGGATTGGATAAACAAGTTTTTATTTGTAGCTGATATGCATGCTCCACCAATCACTCGGAGGGTACGAAGTGAATAGACACCTTGGCTAACGAAAGATATTATGAAAAAAATTAGGAACAGAGATTATCTAAAGAAAAAAGCAGTTAAGACTGGGTCTCTAAATATGCACCAAGCATACAAAAAAGCTAGGAATGAGGTAACTAAAAATATTAAACAGGCCAAAGCCAAACACTTCATACACTGTTTTGAAACAACCACCAAAAACCCACAAGAGATGTGGAAAACTATTAATAAATTGATTAACAAGAAATCAAAAACAACAACTATCTCCGAAATTAAAACTGAGAATGGAAGTGTTACCGATGCTAAAGAAATTACAAATGTCTTAAATGACTATTTTTGCAACATAGGTTCAAATCTGGCAGAAAACTTAGAAAGGACACCAATTCAACCATCTAGTTATATAGATCAGAGTGAAACTGAATTTAAGCTGCACTCTGTAACTGAAAATGAAGTTTATAAATATCTTTCCAATGTTAAACCAACTAAATCGACTGGTTATGACCAAATACCACCAAAATTAATTAAAGATGCGGCTGGAGTAATCAGTAGATCACTAACAAAAATTTTTAACGAATCTATTGTATCTGGAATTTTTCCTGATGATCTAAAAATAGCGGTGCTGTCGCCAATCTTTAAGAAAGATAGGTCCTGTTGTGGTAACTATAGACCAATTTCAGTACTATCAGTTATAGCGAAAGTTTTGGAGAAAATTGCATTTGATCAATTGTGTAGTTATCTTCATGGTAACAGCATAATTGCAAATCAGCAATCAGGCTTTAGGAAAAATCATTCAACCGAAACGTCCTTACTTACAGTTACAAATAGATGGTATTGCAATATGGACAATGGACTTCTGAACGGCGTTTTATTTCTGGATTTAAAAAAGGCATTTGATTGTGTAGATCATCAAATCTTACTAAACAAATTAGCAATGTATGGAATTCGTGGTATAACATTAAATTGGTTTAAGTCGTATCTCTCCAATAGAAAGCAAACTTGCAAAGCTAACAACATATTTTCAGAAATGAAACCAATTAAAACTGGTGTGCCGCAAGGCTCCAATTTAGGACCCCTGCTATTTATTATCTATGTCAACGACTTACCTAATTGTCTAGACAGTGCTAGTGCAAGCATGTTTGCCGATGATACAAATATAACAGCAACCGGTCAGACAGTACAACAACTCCAAAGTAATTTGAATAACAATTTAGAAAAAGTACACCACTGGCTTCTCGCAAATAAATTAACTCTTAGTTACAATAAAACAGAGTACATGATTATTGGTTCAAGACAAAAAATACTAAACATTCAAGAAGAACCAATAATAAGCATAGGTAATGAACCTGTAAAGAAAATTAATAAATGCAAAACACTTGGAGTTATAATCGATGACAAATTAATGTGGAAAGACCATATAAATGAAATCAATGCTAAAGTTTCGAAAGGTTTAGGAATAATGAGAAGGATCAAGTCGCTTGTAACCCAATCTGTCTTGCAAACTATATACAACAGCTTAATACTCCCATATTTCGATTACTGTAGCATGGTATGGGATAATGCAGCTAACTATAACATACAGAAACTACAAAAAATGCAAAATAGAGCGGCTAGAATTTTAACAGGGAGCAGTTACGATGCTCCTTCAAAGGAGTTACTGCGCCAACTCAACTGGGAAACGTTGGAAGAGCGCAGACGTAACAAAAAAGCATTATTAATGTACAAGGTCAAAAATGGGATCGCACCTGATTCAATAGGATATTTGTTTAATATTTGTGATAATCAAAATTAATCTTTAAGAAGCAATTTAAACAACTTTACGTTAGATAAGCCAAATACAAATTTCTTAAAAAAAAGCATCAGTTACTCTGGTGCAAAATGTTGGAATGATCTCACAAATGATCTTAAGAGTAAGTCAATGGGCATAAAGAGGTTTAGAGCTATTGTTGGGGGCGCAGATTAGTTTCCATATGATATTTTGAAATCATTAAAATATTCTTGTAAATAGTTATTATAGTAATTAGTAGTAGTTTGTAGTTTAAGTTTCTTTTGTATGTATGTATATATGTATATATATGTGTATATGCGTGTGTGTATATATATATATATATATATATATATATATATATATATATATATATATATATATATATATATATATATATATATATATATATATATATGTATATATATGTATATATATGTATGTATATGTATGTATGTATATGTATATATATGTATATATATATATGTATATATATGTATATATATATATATATATATATATGTATGTATATATATATATATATATATATATATATATATATATATATATATATATATATATATATATATATATACATATATATATACAGATAGATCATCAGGTGGTGAGTAATTTCGAAATTGTAGGTTGCTTTTATGCTATCGAAAGAATGTGCGGAATGCGTGTAGGCGAAACAATGCTTAGGCGAAACAAAGCATGCTTGGGTCATTAGGTTTTGTTAACGACCTTGTTTGCTCGAAACCGGTTTTTGTGACGACATTTGCCGAAAATTTCGCTTCTTTTATTGAGTAAATTGTCTTTGTTTGTGTGTTTCAAAATGCAAATTTTTTCTTCCAAACATAAATTGCAGCGTTTTGATCCCCCTGTGTACGAAATAGCGTGTTTTAAAATTGACCATTTGATGGTATAATCCCGATTGTTTTCTTTTAATTTCCAAATATGTTTCGAAAGTTCCGTTTTGTTTGAGTCTTTTTTATGACGAAAAGATGAAGTGTGGTTAGCGTAACGTTCCTTAAATGTAGTCGCTGTCATACCAATGTAGTGTTTAGTGTCGTTCGTTTTGTTCGTTGTGACTGTGGCTTTGTAAATAATATTGTTGGTCAGTGTTAACACGAACATAGGACGGGAATTCTTAAGTTTAATTGACAAACACTTCCCACTACAGCACAAACTACACAAAATTTTTAACAGAAACACTTTAAAAGTAAGCTACAGTTGCATGAACAACGTTAAGTCTATAATCACCAAACACAACGCACATATAATTAGGAACAGTCAACCACAGAATACGGAAACTGACAAGTGTAACTGCGACAACAAAAACACTTGCCCACTACCGAAACAATGTATGACCAACAACATTATTTACAAAGCCACAGTCACAACGAACAAAACGAACGACACTAAACACTACATTGGTATGACAGCGACTACATTTAAGGAACGTTACGCTAACCACACTTCATCTTTTCGTCATAAAAAGACTCAAACAAAACGGAACTTTCGAAACATATTTGGAAATTAAAAGAAAACAATCAGGATTATACCATCAAATGGTCAATTTTAAAACACGCTATTTCGTACACAGGGGGATCAAAACGCTGCAATTTATGTTTGGAAGAAAAATTTTGCATTTTTAAAGACATAAACAAAGACAATTTACTCAATAAAAGAAGCGAAATTTTCGACAAATGTCGTCACAAAAACCGGTTTCGAGTAAACAAGGTCGTTAACAAAACCTAATGACCCAAGCATGCATTGTTTCACCTAAATAATGTAAATAATGTAAATAATGTTGTTGGTCATGCATTGTTTCGGTAGTGGACAGAGGAGGAGTGGTCACTATACCACAATGCATCACTTCTCATTAATATTCGGAATTGAATTTTGCGAGTCTTTGAAAGATGTTTGTCGAAAAATTGTGGTTGTTTATCGCGATTTTTCACTCTGAAAATTTTGATTTTTGGAAGGTACGTTTTTATAATTGTTTTATTTGTGACCTTAAATGCACGATTTTTGTTTATGTGGTTGTCGTATCATGTTTCAGTTATGTTAATCACGCATTGAATTACCCTTGGTTTCGGGTCAGTGCACATGTCACAAAAGTGGCTTTGATATTCGCTGGGGATTAAATGCTTTTTAAATCAGGAAATTCAACAATGTTTACAGCATCGAATGCAGGAAGGGTTATTCTTTCTATTGATACTTCAAAACACAAAAAATCCCCTCGAACTGACGAGTTATCGCGGTTTGAAAATGGGGTATATTTCGGTGCTATAAAAGAAATGGCATTGATATACGCCAGGAGTGAAATAGTTTATAAATCGGGAAATTCAGAAAAATTCACATCATTGAATTCGGAAAGGTCAAGGTTTTAGCTGATATTTTAAAACATTAACAATCTCCTCCAACCGACGAGTTATCGCGGTTTGAAAATGGGGTATATTTCGGGTATAGTGCACATGACACGAAAATGGCTTTGATATACGCAGGGGGCTAAATGGTTTATAAATCGGGAAATTCAATAAAATTCACATCATTGTATTCAGTAAGGGTTACTCTTTCTATTGGTACCTTAAAACATAAAAAAGCCCCTGAAACCGACGAGTAATCGTTGTTTGAAAATGGGGTATTTTGCTTTTGTTGTCGCCAATCGCGGGAAGAGGACTCTACAGGAATTTAATTCAGGAAATATGGCGCGAACGCGACGTAAACAAGCCAGCTTTTCTAACATATTGTTCCTGATTGTATCATTTGTTTTTATAGAATTCGAGTTTATTGGAGCAAAAAATGGAATCTATTAATGATGGCGATGTTGTCATTGTTGATCATGATTTAGAAAATGAGGAAACTCAAATTACTGATATGCCAGAAAAACCAACAAGAAGAACCAGAAGACTATATCTCGTGTGGAAAGTTCATTCAGTCGAGCTTTGGCTCATATAATGGGCCATTCCATTTAATACAGCCCCCCCCTGCCTATTGAGGGGTCCCTTCATAATCCCCTTAGGATATAAACATTTTAGAACCCCCCTTGGATGTGATTTTTGGAAGTTACCCCATGGATATCTTTATACCCACTTTAGGATATCGTTTTTACCCCCTTGGATACCACTATAAAAACACCTAATTTTTGCTATTTTTTGGAAAATTTCTTAAGCTACCCTCTAGGAAAATTTAAGGTAAAACCCCCTCCCCCCATAGGATATCCAGACCCCTCAATAGGGGGGGGGGGTGCCTATATTAAATGGAATGGCCCATTCAAAGTCCTGGCACATCAGCAAAGGTATAATAAAAACAATTATGGTAGACGAAATTGTACTTAAAACTGTTATTCTTTGCTATTCTATTCTTTAAATCGTCTTTGTATATTCAGTGTAACACCTCTGTGTAACATTATTCTGCAGTGTATAAACATTATTCATGTATGATTATTCATATGTCATCTGTGACTCAATTTCCATTTTAGTAAATGACATACTTTTTTGTAGTTTCCTAGCAGAAAGATCAAGCTGACTCCTTCAAAGAAGTCACCAGTGAAAAAACATAAATAGACCTTTGAGGAAAATAAAGTTATGGAAAAATTTTGTCCATAATAAATATAATAACAACAATTTACAATATCCTAGTAATCTATGTCACTGTTATAATTGCCTAGATCCATAATAAAATAAAATAACAACAATTTACAATATACTTCTTGTGTGTGTTGGTGTTATGTACTCAGGTGAATATGATGTTTGTGATGTTACTCTGAGTGTGCATCCACACCAAGCCGAGCTCAGTTGGTAGAGCATTGGACTAATATCCCAAAGATCGCAGGTTCGATTCCCACCGTGGTCAGGCAAACTTTTCAGCTTGCCCGGTGTGCATGCACACTCAGAATAACATTGCAAACATCAATTTACAATATTCTAGTAATTTATGTCACTGTTATAATTGTAGGGATCCATAATAAAATAAATATGTAGGGATCCATAATAAAATAAAATAATTTACAATGGCTCATTCCAGAAAACATCCATACCACCCCCACAGAGGAAATTGGAAGTTAACCCCCCTACCCCCTTTGAATGTCCTAATACATGTACTATTATCAGGAACAATTTTTTCTTCCCTCCCCCTCCAGACGGCAGAAATTTCCTCCGTGGGGAGGAGTATGGATCTTTTCTGGAACGACCCAATATTCTAGTAATCCATGTGACTGTTATAATTGTTTCTTGGGTCATCTCTGTCCCATGGTCCACTTTTCACAATCAACAATGCTGTACTGTGGAGTAATATCCACCAAGCACACAGAATTTATTGGTTGTAGATCACAGTTACATCCAGTTTGCCCTTGTAAATTTATTGGTTGTAGATCACAGTTACATCCAGTTTGCCCTTGTAAATTTATTGGTTGTAGATCACAGTTACATCCAGTTTGCCCTTGTAAATTTATTGGTTGTAGATCACAGTTACATCGAGTTTGCCCTTGTAAATTTATTGGTTGTAGATCACAGTTACATCCAGTTTGCCCTTGTAAATTTATTGGTTGTAGATCACAGTTACATCCAGTTTGCCCTTGTAAATTTATTGGTTGTAGATCACAGTTACATCCAGTTTGCCCTTGTAAATTTATTGGTTGTAGATCACAGTTACATCCAGTTTGCCCTTGTAAATTTATTGGTTGTAGATCACAGTTACATCCAGTTTGCCCTTGTAAATTTATTGGTGACAGCACACTGTCCAACTCTTCATTAACAGTATCTGGATCTCAAGGTTGAATTGTTTGAGAAAGTGGGGATGGCAGAATATCGAAATCCCACAAAATAACATTCTCAAAGATAAGAGATTGTCCTGTTCCATCTTGCCCCGAGATCACTGAGGTCAGAGAACTGCAACATAAAAACAACATTCAGTTTAACAAAGTAAAATATTAAAGCAGGGCACATGCGGGGACAGTGTGACTCAATGCCAATGGGTTAACTAGACACATGGGCAGATAGGCCAGCTGCCATTAGACAGTAAAACAATCTGGCATGAGACAGAGTAAAATAATAAAGTAGGGTGCAATTGATGTGACTTATGCAATTCAATGCCAAAGTAATCAAACCTCTATGATCAAACCAAATGAACAGTCTAAGCTTCTCTATAAACTTAAACTATTTTAGCTCTATATGTATATATTCAAAATGGAAAGGACAAATATTGTTACCAACATTGGCTATAAAAATCTGAATCATAGAAAAAGCATTGTGTAGGTACATTGCCTTTGTATTCGCTTTAACGATTAAAGCAAACGACTTACCCTAAAAGCACAACTGGAATGTATCTCTATCAATGCTGGGCTATTGCAATCGGCGAATATTTCATCAACTTTTAGAGACAAATAGACAATTATTAAAATAGCGATTCTTCTGATATGCAAACTATCCAAAAAACTGATGTGAATCTCACGGCATTCAAAGCTGAACACACGATAACCCATAGGAACCAACAGCGTAGGCTCTGACGATACACAATGAACAAAAAGAAGATCGTGTCCTTCCAAAACTGAAGCTTTATGGCGGTGGTCGGCTTTACAAAATCCGCCATATAATCTCACTCCTGTTGTTTTGATGTTGAAGGTCAGGAGAACAATAAGCGCCCGCTCGTGGAAAATCAATAATATATAATTAATCGGAATAATCGCAATGCATCACGGTATAGTGACCACTCCTCCTCTGGATCAGCACTGC